GTGCTGCGTTTTTGCAAAACGGACCGACGCTTCCTCGTTGCCTTCCCGAGGCCAGAAAGAGCCATCCAGATTTCTAGCCCATCCCGTTTTTCTGCTTCTTTGCAAAACGCAAATCTCGGCGACTTAAATGGCGCATATGGGCCACCACCTATGCTAAATAGATCTCCTATGCTATGCTATCGATATCTGGCAGTTCCTGGTTATTTTATATATATATATATAATCTGCCTTCAGGTGCTTTGGAGAATAGCTTGACTCCCTCTTCTTTATGGCAGCCCCTGAGATACTGGAAGATTGCTATCCTGTCGCCCCTCATCCTTCTCTTCATTAAACTAAACATTCCCAATTCAGTCAATTTAGAATAGAGCTGGAAGGGACATTGGAGGTCTTCTAGTCCCACCCCCTGCTCAAGCAGGAGACCCTATTATACCATTTCAAATAGTTGTCCAATCTCTTCTTAAAAACCTCCAGTGTTGGAGCATCCACAACTGCTGGAGGCAAGTAGTTCCACTGGTTAATCGTTCCACCATTAGGAAATTTCTCCTTAGTTCTAGGTTGCTTCTCTCCTTGATTAGTTTCCATCTGTTGCTTCTTCTCCTGCCTTCAGGCGCTTTGGAGAATAGCTTGACTCCCTCTTCTTTGGGGCAGCCCCTGAGATATTGGAACACTGCTATCATGTCCCCCCTCGTCCTTCTCTTTATTAAACTAGACATAACCAATTCCAGCAACTGTTCCTTGTATGTTTTAGCCTCCAGTCCCCTAATCATCTTCGTTGCTCTTCTCTGTACTCTTTCTAGAGTTTCAGCATCTTTTTTACATCGTGGTGATCAAAACTGGATGCAGTGTTCCAAGTGTGGCCTTACCAAGGCATTGTAAAGTGGTATTAATACTTAATACTGGAGATTCTCAGTCATCCAGGTCAATAGCAGGGGAGGGACACAACATCCTCTATCTCCTGTCTACAACACAGTCCTTTCAGCAGTCCCAAGAAGGCTCCACACCCATTTGCACCACTCAGGTGACCCCCAAGGACACAGACAAACCTCCAAGTGGCCTCAACGACTCTCTAAAAGAAGGCAAATGACCAGCTGTCTGCAAGGAGTATAAATCCTTCCGTTCCCCACCATTCAGTCAGAGCCGAAAAAGCTTCTTGGATGAGAAGCAAAACGTCTTCAAAGAAAAACAAGAACGTTCAGATGCCTCGTGAAAAAAGCACCTTTGGGACAGGAACTGCCAGGGCACAGTATGTTCCAAGGGGAAAAGAGAGCTAGCCATAAGATTCTTTGACATCTTCATTTTTTTTTCCTGTCTACCTTTCCCTTCGGGGTCCTCTTTCACAAGCGGTGATTTTCAAACCAGCTTTTCTTTCCCTCCAGGGAAGGCTGTTTTAGACCACGTTGATCCAGTCGGATTGAAATAGTTTTAAGTTGATGGGTTGGGAGGGAAAAAAATGGATTTTTGCTGTAAGGAGCAAAACTGTTCAGTTTCTCTCTTCTTCTCTCCTCTCCTTTTCTCAAGAGGTCTATATCAGGGTTTTTCTCAACCTTAGCCATTTTAAAATGTGTGGACTTCAACTCCCAGAATCCACCCCCCCCCCCAGCCAGCCAGCATCTGGGAGTTGAAGTCCACACATCTTAAAATTGTCAAGGTTGAAAAACATTGCTCTTTATTTTCATTAGGATAGCCTTTCTTCTTTCTGTGAAAAGGACTGATTATTTCACCCTAAAGGTTCACTGGTATTGGTTCTTTTTTCTTCTTCTTTTTTTAAAGAAAAGTTCCATAGTTCTCATAGAGGACGTTACAGGATTCGCACACTCATCCAGGTTGAATTCCTTTGACAAACATAATCTCGCGGTCCTCGTGATCTCTTGCAATGCTTGAGTTTCTTGGCAGGTATACCAATTAAGCAGAGAGGAGATTCTGTTCCTATTCACAAGGAAATCCACCATCTCCTAACCCAGTATTTCCCAATTTTTTTTCCCCTTCATGCTGGCTGGGGAATTCTGGGAGCTGAAGTCCACCCATCTTACTGGAGTTGAGTCCATCCGTCTTAAAACACCCCAGTCTAAGCCATCAGGGTTTGATTTCTTCTTTTCTAAAACGTGACCCATACTCAGTTCTCTTTTCTGACCTTCAGCCTAAGTGGAATTTTCCTCCTATGGGATTTTCCCATGTATTTTACCAGGAAACATAGATAGGGCAGGCTAGAAAAGTCAGTGCCCTCCTAACCATAACCAAGCACTCCGAGTTTGTTGGCGATGTCCATTTTGCTCTATGAGTTCATGGTGACCTAACCCTAACCCTAAGTGGAATTTTCCTCCTGTGGGATTTTCCCATGTATTTTACCAGGAAACATAGGGCAGGCTGGAAAAGTC